TTTTCTGCTAATCTACTATAAAATGGGGAAAATCGAAATATTCTATACAATTACAAATTCTAGAGATCTCAAGGCTTGCAAAGTTGTTTTTTTTTCAATTTGAAGCTAACAATTGAAGAGCTGTAGATTCTGAAGTTGGTAGAGTGAAGACTTCTTTTTAAACGTCATACTGTAAGTCTTCAGCTGAAGCTCGCTCCTTTAGATTATGTTCTGACAACCTTTGGCCTATTTTCTTCTGTCTCATCTTGATGGTGCCAGATGTGATTAGCCTGCCGAAGCCCTCCTGGTGGGCGAATGCATAGCCAGATCTCCTGGAGCTGGGGCGGTGGGACAGACGGGAGGACTTCCGTCGCAGCAGCTGAGAAGTGGTGCGCTTGCTGGTCTTGGACAGTTGCTGTGCCAGCCGTATCTGTGGGACAAAAAAGTCACCCATAAGAATGGACCAAGAAGTGGAATTTCTCATGTCATGTTTCCTCTTAAAAAGCAAGTCAAAAGATTGAATTTTGAAATGTGGACTGTGAGGAGAGCTAAATACAAAATGAACTGCACAATGAATTTGTTTTGAGAAAGGGTAAGCTACAGAGCCTGAGGGGTAGAAAAAAAGTTGATGAATCCAAGCCACCCTTATTCATTCATTCCTTCAGCTACTTCAAAACAAGCTCAACAGTTAGGGCAGGCCACTGTTTTTCAACTTCGAATTCCTTTTGGGCAATATTGGAATTGAAGACAGATACAGTATTCAATGTGATAATGTGCAGTGTAAAATAGTCACATTCCTCGTACAATTTTTCCATCGTAGGATTTTTAGTGAGGCTATCACAAAACCAATAGTTACTGTAAACCCACACAATTTTCTGTCACAAGAACAAAAAATTGCTCAATTTCCTGTCAAAAACATATCATAAGTAATATCCTGAATCCTGAGACAGCTCACCCTGTCTGACAGTGTTGGCCTGAGGTCTCTCATGAGGAACCTGATGGCGACGACAGGCAGCAGGCAGACCAGCACGGTCAGCAGCACCGTGAACCACAGCGTGGGCTGGCTCAGCACGTTCCTCGCCACACCCACGAACGGGAACTGGGCCAGCTTGTACAGGCCGTCGCTGTACACGATGAGGCTGGCGCCGAAGTACCAGGCGATACTCCCCCAGATGAAGAAATGGTTGATCCCTGTCCAGTATGCTGTGTCCAAACCAATCTGCAGAGAGAAATAAACTTTTTAACAACTCAATGAAATCAATAATACAACTGTTTACTTGACACAACATTAGTACATCCTGAGGATTTGAACCCAGAACCTTTAGGTGCAACAACCCTAACCTAATCACAAGCCCACCATAAAATGTACATCTCACAAGACCTTGATCTCACCTGTAGACTGACTGTAATAACCAGTGCTGTTCCGATGGTCAGACCAAACACCTGGTGAGACTCAAAGTCCTTCCCGTCGCTCCTCATGGCCTCACACACGGCGCCGTACGGGATGAAGAACAGGGCCAGAGACGTCAGGACGCCGTGCAGCAGGCTGATAAGGAAAATCTTCTTGTTGAAGAAGAGGTTGTACTGCCCTGGCACGTACAGCTTGGGGTACTTGACACAATTGTCTTCATTCACATCCTGGTTGGATGAAAAAAATGCCATGTTATAATATAGCAAAAAAAAAAAATCAAACTTGTCTTTAGGCCACACTGACTTAATTTTATGGATGAAATCCTCTGAAGACACCCAAACTAGTGTGCGTGGGCGAATAAAAAAATTCCAACCAAAAAAAAATGCTGCTAAACCACAGGAACACAAAGGTGGTATTGTGACTTTGCAGTAGTACATAGCTACTTATACAACAAGCCTACATGCTGGCCTTTTGCAGCATTTATGAGTCAGCACTGTACTGAGTTCTTGAGTTCCTGGAGCTTCGGCATCCTGGGTGCCATCCTCCGTAGTTACCGACGGCTCCCTATTGTTGCTAGCTACTATTGACTATGGTGGCTGGCACCCAGGCCAGAGCCTCATTGGAAGTGATTTCTTTTTGAGAACAGGCAAAAATCAATGCTCACGTAGATGTCATCCATGAAATTAAATCAGTGTGGCCCTCTGTGGTATTTTTTATCCAAGTTTAAACTGATGAAGTGTACTAAAGGAATGTGGCATATGAATGTATAGTGATGAAAACTGTTACCCATACCTGATCAAAGAGGGCCATGGCCAAAACAGGCAAGGATGTGTACATGATGTTGTAGAAAGTGATGAACCACTGGTCATAAACAGTCTGTATGGGGGAAAATACATGTACATGACACAAATTATAGTCTGACACATGTAGAAATTGTTTGCCTTCATTTGGCATCTTAATCATTATTACTTTTGACTTTGTTTAGTCTTTTGCTGTTTATTTGCTGTATTATGAGACTTGAGATTAGTGGAGAGGAACTGCACAAATTAAAAACGTGAAAATGAAGCCACTTAACATTTCTTCTGTAAAAACATCTTAGGTTCATAATTATCAGCAAATAAAGTTTTCTTTTGCTTCAAAATATTACACACTAAGGAAAACCACCACTCTTACATAAACTTCAGACAACAAATTTCTTGACAATATAGGCCCTTTCTAAAAGCTGGTCTAGAAACTACTACATACTATTACTACATTACATATCCCTAACAGGTTTAAACTTATTTGTGTGTAGTAAATCAAAACATCATGAAGTAAATGTAACTTAAAGACTTACCTGTGCAGAAAATCCCACAAAGAAAGAATACCAGAAGTGACAGAGGGTGAAGGCAAAGTTCTTGTAGAAGAAGTACTTGAGAAACTTGCACATTCTGTAGTAGGACCAGCGACCATGGACCAGTAGCAACCGCTCCAGATACGTTCTCGTGTCAAGGCATAGACAACAAGTCTACTGTTACAGTACAACTGCCTAAAGGCACGGATTCACTAATCTCTGAACAGACGTGCGTCTGTGTCTGGATTTTGCATGAATTATTGTTTTTTATACCTCTTCTAGCATTTACCTCTTCTAGTCTTTACCTAAGGATCCATCAAAGTCATTATGAGACACTACAGCATGATGTTAGATGTCCTGAAGACATATTGTCTATAGAGTAGTATGAAATACAAACTGTATGTTACACAATTTATCATAAAGTTGGAATGGAGATTTCTGATTGACCTAAACATGGGTAGTACTTCAAATGAACTTTCTTTTGGCATCCCTCTAAGGTGCTTAAATGTAGCTTAACACACAGACACTTTGTAAAAGGATATCTGAACTGGGCGAAGGAAAAGTCACTGGCCAGAACTGCCTGCATTCCCTCCTGGCCGCTGATGCCAACTCCGATATGGGCAGCTGCAAAACAAAAAATTAAGCACATAAACATTCACTACTACACACTTAACTGTAGGAAGATTCATTGCCCATGGTACTGGCACACCTACAAAGACAAGCACAGGATAGATTGGGACAGTGTTAAGGAAGCTATCTAGAGGCAAGGCATTCTCATTCAGGACTGTCAGTCATAGCCAAAGCTGTAGGGCTGATATCAATTAGGATTTTATCATGGACAATATTGTCTGATGGAGACCATAACTAAGGCAAGGCACCACTTTAATGAATAGGGTCAACAGAGGTCACCACTCTATTGTATTTGAGGCATTAAATGCTACTAGTGTTCTAGACTGCTGCTGTTTAAGTGCTTGAACAACTCTGTGGCTTAAGGGTTATAGAAATGGAGATGGGGACTACCTTATACACCAAAAGCTGCAGGAAGAACTTTTAAAACATCCTACCTTTGATCATGCTGACATCATTGGCCCCGTCGCCTATGGCCAGGGTGACGGCCTGTTTGTGCTTCTTGACCAGCTCCACCACCAGGGCCTTCTGTAGGGGGGTGACCCGACAGCAGATCACAGCCTTAGACAGGGACGCCACATTCAGGAACTCAATCTCCATCTCCTTCTCCAGGGCATACACCTACAGTAAACAATCAATCATTTACATGACGAAATAATGTAGAACATGATTTAGAGCAAAACATTTGATGGGGATGGGGGCCGGTAACCTCTATCAGTCTTCGGGAGGCGGCTGGAAAGAGTAAAAGTTGGCCAAATAGATAGATAATATGCAAAGGAATTGGTCCGCAAGAGTACAGTTTGATGCACCCAACTCCCCTGGCATGTTCTCTTACTATTTGGCTAAATTCTACTCTTTCCAGGTGCCTCCCAAAGCCTGGTAGAGGCTAGAGGCCAGACTATTGTGCATGGAAGCAATCATTGGAGCGAACTGGAGCTAGAAAGGATTCCAGGTCTGGATACTAGTACATTACTTTCAACTCAGCAACCTGGGAAAAGACTTGTTTACAATTCTTTTGGAGAAAAATGCACCAAGCCGAAGCTCTTTGTAAAACAATGCATGAGAATAATGGATGAGTAGAGAGCGGCCAGGAAAGCCAGGACTGGCCATTTGGGGCCCCAGCAGTGGTGAGATGCTCATTCATCCAAGCCATAAGAGAACCAAGCATAATCACCGAAACATACTATTGAAAGGGAAAATGGTTGAAATTGATGAAATAGCTTTGCTACTGCCCATGTAAAAAAATAACAATGACTCTTGTCTATCATTACAATATCTCAGCAGATTAAGAAATGGTGGCTGCTATAGATAAAATCCTGCTACAATGTATATGAGTAGGAACTGGAATTTGTGTCCAAGCAGATGTGATGAGGTACAAAAATGTACCTTCAGCCTCAAGGTGCCAAACATGATCTCACAAACACTAGGGGGACACAAACCTGAAGGTCTTCTGGTACATTAAGTGGGTCTTTTGAAAAGGGGGATGAACCTGAGAAACAAGCAGTACAGAATGAAGATAACTAAAAGTCTTTCACAATCATATATACTTCTCAACTGCGAAAGTCTGAAAAAAAATTCTTATCAGATATATGACCCTACATTCAGATATATTTCAATTAAATTCAGTATTAAATGCAACTTGGCAAAATATAATTCTTTGTTTCACAACCTAAATCACCAACTTCTCAGCTGCCTTCATCAATGAAGGTGTAATGAACTGCTACATGTACTACAAGTACTTGTCACCAGGTGGCGCTGCAGCAAGAACACTGCTGCCCCAAACATGACTGTCTGAATTCTCCTCCTCAGTTCATGCTGCAAGCAGCTCTAAGTAGCTACTGAAATGTTGGCATGTAAAAGCATTTAGGATGTGAAACAAAGAATGCTATTTTCCAATGACCCTCAAATCCAATGACACTCTTCACAAAATGTAAGACATGTTCACAGTTGTGATGGTACGAAGCAGCTCTTACTAAGCTGTGTCCGTTGATGACCAGGGCGAACTCCTTGTCGCCCATGTCGACCATGCTGGTGGCTCTGGGGTCCTTGATCATGACTTCCCTGCACCCCACCATGTCTTTGATCTTCTTGAAGGCGTTGGCCAGCTCGACGCGGACCTCCTCCTTGGAGTGAGCTCCCACGATGAACACGTCCTCCATCTCATCAGTCAGCATGTTACAGGAGTAACCGATGTTGATGGCAGTTTCTAAACAAATGTAGTAGGTAAATACATTTCAACTGTGCACAAACATTTCAACTCTGGCTATGGCCACTATCTAGTCTGATACCGGTATTGCCTTTTTACTCTATCCTCCTTTACCTTACAAAAGAGTTTTAAAATGGTAGAATCTGCTTTCTTGGCTTTGCACTCAGCACTTGAGGAAAAGTGTATGATAGTTGAACACCACTACAAGTAGACAAAGCCCCCCTAATATGAGGGGGGCAGGGTGGGCCCAAGGGCTATAAAAATGGAAATGGGCACAACCCTGGCCTCTACACCAGAGGGCATTTGAAGGACTTTTAACTCAGTAATGAAGACTGTGTCTCCTCTTTTTAGGGGTCTAAAATTTAGGGGTCTAAAACTATTTCCTTGGTTCTCCAACTTTATAAATGAAAATTGGGACATAGGGACAAGAGGATATCTGTATCCAGGGCTTATACTGAGTGTACCAAGGTTCCCTATTGTTTTGCCAGTTCAGCAGAATTTTCACAATCCGAGAACCAATAAACCAAATTACCATGGCCTTTACATCAAGATCATGTGATCCAGGCTTGTGTTAAACCATTAATTGGGTTGTCAGTAGAAGGCAAGAATAAGTCAGTAACTACTCCAATCAATCATCTTGTTCACCCCTTTCATCACTTTTGATGTATTACCAAGAAAGTAGGATGACAGCATAGGAAATCCTAGAACTAATCCTTATGAATAAGGAAGTGGGGAATCATTTGTCTCCCTCAGAAATGTCAGGGTTACTTGTGGAAGAAACTGTGTGGGAACCTGTGAGATGTGATATTTGCATCCTGTTATGTATCACTTATGAGTAAATGTCATCCATTGGTTTGAATTGTCCAAAGTTCAGCTGTGATTCTGCCGTCATGGTTTTGAAGGATGACATTCCAGTATAATAATTGTTGTCTGGACTAATTAAGGGTTTCACCAGGGTTATATTCTATTCCCTCAGCTGTGCAAACTCTTGCTCACTTCTTTTTGTGATTTGACCAAATTTTTGTTTCTTTTGTATAACCGGTAAGTGTAACACCAGTTTTGTACAGTGGGTACAAACTACGTACATACATGTATAATACTACAAACAGTAAGGTTTGAGACACTCACACTGGGATGGAATCCTACCAGGCCACAACATTAGGTCCTGCTAGAGATTTGTACCCAGAACCTTTAGATTCTAAGTAAAAAAAACGTAGCCAGAAGACCAGCTTGCCACCTTAGCATTAATTGAAATCTTTCCATATTAGACTATCATGGACAATTTCTTCTGCCAAGACAATATTGAAACACAAACTTAATATAAAAAAGTTATTACCTTGTTTGTCTCCTGTGAGAACCCAAATTTTCATGTTTGCCTAAAATAGACATAAACAATTTAACAATTCTGTTATTTCAACCACTCTTAGATATAATTATATAGTGACTATACATGTAGTATATAGTGAAATTCATTTCAAAGTTGGCTCGTTTTTTGTGTAAGTCTATATAATCTGTGTTGGTCTGGAGTTATGTCTGCAATAGTTTGAAAGCATACATGTAGAAAGTGAGCCAAACATGTACAAATACAAACATACATATTCACATGTGTGTTCGTTACATCTGATTCATTAGTGAGCGGTGACTTCAAGGATGTGTAACAAGCTCTTAGTATGTTGTTAGAAAGCTACGATAAGACTTTAAGATTCCCTACATACATCAGCCAGATTAGCAATTGTGTCAGGTACTCCATCTTGTAGTTTGTCCTCTATAGCAGTGGCCCCCAGGAGCATCATATCCTGTTCTATCTCCTCATACACTACGTCAAGCTTTTCATCACGATCTTCCAAAGAAGTGCTGCATTTTGAGAAATCCAGAGGTTATTAGAGCTTTGATCTTTACTGAGCAGGATAGAGTCCTGGATGATTAGACAATATATAGTAGAACTATCTTGCAATGTTAAATGTTACATTACACAGAAGTAGATGGAAACAGAGCAAAGAACTCTATAGAGCAGGACTACAAAATCACAAACATGTATGAATGGAGTATGGGGTGTACCTGAACCAAAGTATCTCATTACAAGTACAGTAAGTTATGTAGTTACATTCTTTAAGAGATGAATACATGGCTGTCATGTACATAATACTACATGTAATACATTTGTAGTATGTAAATTGAGCCTGGATAGAGGAAAATCAGTACTATTGTGGCACATAGCTGTTATAGTAGTAGTAGTAACTGTTTCTTACCTAGCTTCATGATGCCTGGATTTCCACTCCTCATAATAGTTTGGGTCCAGCTCTTTTGAAGCCAAACATAGTGTCCGGAGACCATCACAAGCAAATTTCTGTCAACAGAACAATTATTCTATTATGCAGGACTTAGAACCACAGGATCAAAAGTTTGAGACTTATCTATAAAATTATTCAATACAAATCATGATCAACTTATAGTAAAAACATGATCAGCACAAAAATATCCTTTCCTCAATTATGTACATGCGTATCAAGATAATCCAGACTGGGTCTATTTATTGATTGATGTCTGTACCAAGCATTGGCACTGTTAAATCTCGACTTACACCATCTACAACAAAGCAAACATCTTCAACACCCTGTTCAACTCACGTTGAGGTGCTCGGTGGTTACTGCCTGCAGGTCGGAGCAGTTCTGACTGAGGTGTTCATAGATGATGGAGTCTGCACCTTTACACAGCAGCAGCAGCTTCCCATCAGTAGTCCTAACAATCACCTAAAACACAAACATACAGCATACACACATGATCAACTTCCCATTCATAACAATCAACTAAAACACAACATATGCATTATGTGGACTCCCCATTCCTTACAACTGTAATCACCTAATATACATATGTGTAAATTAATGTTAACTTTCCCCTGACTTGTACCTTAAGCCATCAGGCCAAACCAGCTCATTTCCTTGGTTTCTGGACATCTTAGTGAAAGCATAAAAATGAGGTCTTGGGAAAGCTGTGTAACAACCTTTCTCCTTGGACTCCGTTTTAATGTAATAACACTACAGATACAAAATATATTTATTCTAGTTTAGCATTGTTTTGTCATTAAACCCAAGATTTCTTTTTAAAAAGTTAGTCCCAAATGCATTTTTATGCAAAACGAGGCATGAAATAAAAAAGTTCACTCAAGTATCTCCTGCATGTATTATCCTACTTACCGACATTCTTTTGCGGACGTTGTTAAAGTCAAGGATGTGGAGAAGCTCATAGGTGACCTCCTTATCCTGGTCCTTGATGGTGATGGTGTTAGGAGTACGTGCCTGTAAGGGGAAAGTTTTCATTATCATAATATTGATATAAAAATTATGTACCAAGAAATGACCACAGTATGTAGGTGGCCATATCCAAAGTGTATTACATAATGTTATTACTGTTTCAGGCACTAGCAACTTTTGAGCAAAACGTTTTTATAATCAAGAGAACAAGAAATTGGCACCTGGTCCAAACTGGCTAACTAATCAACAGTTACTGAATGCACAGGAAGAAAAGTTACTAACTCACCAGAAAGACAGTGCCAAAGTTTTTAGCTGCAGACACCAGGGCTCCTTCATCTGGGGACTGTGCCTGATACTCAAGCAGTCCTGAAAATCAAAGGTCAGACATGTTATATCAAACTAAAACATAACAAACCCTATATCATTGTTGTGATTACAATGAACAGCGAGGGCTTAAACAAAGGCTCTTTATATTGAATGTTTTATGTGTGTAATGCCTGTCTATCACGCTTGCAGCTTGCTTGTGGTAGAACAACCTGAAATATGTCCTTCTGGAGGAGTTGAGGCACTACCCAGGTGTCAGCCAATCAGATACTCCCATTATAACTTAGCAGCCAATCAAGTTGCCCCCTGATAATTTGATTAGGAACATCATGACTAGAACTTAGCTTACCATTCTTTTCCTCAGGCATGACCGTGTGACAGAGAGCCAGGAGGCGGAAAAAGTTGGTCACATTTTCGTCTCCTTTATTGATGTCATCCAACAGGGTCTGGTCATAGAACGTGAAGCTCTTATCAGAATACACGTTCCCAGAGAAGTCCACTTTCTTGGTGAACTGTAAAGAAATCAAAGAAAAATTTAGATTTTATAGCTTTACTCAAAACACACATTAACAAAACATGCATTCAAAAATGTTGAAGCTACCAAGATCTTGCTTGAAAGTTACAAGAAATTCTGAGTCTTTTCTGTGTATACGTGTAAATAATGAACTCCAGAAGATTGATGTACTACCTACAATGTCCTTGCTACAATGAACTTGATGTATTTCTTGCATCATTTATGCAAGGTGAGGCAACTACAATGTAAACATGAATTATTAATTACTGTCTTACTATCAAGATATGAATAATGTATTGAAATACAAGAAAGTGAGACTACCAATTGAAAGAAGTGCTACTGGTCTACTAATATTATGAAGAACAGTGGTGGTGTGTTTGTGTTTCTAGGCACAGATTTTTTTAAATCTAAAAAAAATTTAGATTTAAAAACTTCTTTGGAACCTTCAAAGACATAGCAGCTACAGAATAATCATGTGATTTCTATACTATACATGTACCTCAGTTATATCCATGGGGTTGCCATCCTTGTCATACACATCTCCTACACAAAAGAAAAAAACACAAATTAGAAGACTTATCAAATACTATACCACATATTTTTAAAAATTTGCATTCAGATTTTCTATAGCTTGACTGAACATACCAATTACATAATTACCAATTAGTACATAATTGTACATTTTCTGTTTCTTGCATCACGGTATCATATTTATAACACATCATTTTAAGACTTTCATGAAAATATGATGAACCTTTCAAATGCAAAAGCTATCATTTGTCTCTAATAACATAAGAAGGCATATGTATCATAACAAGGAAGACCTTTCCTGGCATTTTGCAGATCAGAGATGGCAAAGACAGAAACCTCACTGCTCCCTCTGGCAGAACATATAGAAACTACAATTCAGATACCTAACTAAAAACACATACAGTCAAGTATCAAGTAGTATGTTTATTACAATCTTACCGTATAGCTTCCCATTGATGGAACACTTGTTGAAGGCCATGATGTTCTGAGTCAGCGTTCCGGTCTTGTCGGAAAAGACGTACTCGATTTGCCCCAGCTCCTCGTTTAGCGTGGTGGTGCGAGCCTTGGCGGGGGTGTGTTTGGCAGCGTAGTACATTTTGCTGTCCCAGTTGATGAAGAGGCTATGGCCCATTCGAATGATCTCAACACTGCAGATGGAAAGGTACAATGTACATTGTATGGTGAGTGGCCTATATCACAAGTACAAGACATTGCAGGGCTCAAAATTCATTTTTAGGAATAGGTGCACTACTGCACCAAACCTAAAAAATTGGGTGCAATAATCTTAAACATATATATTTAATATCTTTACACACATAAACCTATAAAAATATTTGGGTCCACCGGCCGGTACACCAACCAAAAAATTGGGTGCGCAGGTCCAATTTTGGTGACCCAAGGTGCACATACAGCCAGTATTTTGAGCCCTGCATTGGAAAGCATATGTGTTCCAGGAATGTTTTTCCATCATAAACCTGTTGCATGACCTTACCTGACATATAAAGAGATGGGCACCACAGTGTTGAGGATGATGATGTAGGACAGGAACACTAAAGCTGCAATTTCTGCAGGGTTGTTTGTAAACACCTCCCACGGCAGGTAAGCTCTGAAGTACTACAGAAGAGGAAAAGAAAATGTTAGGGGATACTCAAGGCAATGGTGATGCCTTATAACTATGACCAGTCAGAAGCGCCCCCTCACTATCTTAATGTCAACTGCAGGTGAACTACAGATGAAGTAAAGATGGACTGTTGTGAGAAGGTACAGTAATAGCAAATTGCAGCATCTTCATTCATACCTTGCTACATGTATATCATTTTTAAAAATTTCAACAAAAGGTAGAAATTTAAAAATAACCATGGCAATAGCTTTTCTTGGGCCTTTTATTATGCATATTCTACAATTATGTTCACGGTGCCAGTGCACCTCATAGATTGAGAGTGAGTTTTGAACAGTCTTACTACCAACATACAACTAAAAACTCACCTGCCCAACATATGATTCCCAAACCCCACAGGCTATAGCACATATGAGTGCCATGCACACAAGGAAACCAAAGATCTGCAAAAGACAAAGAAGAGGATTCAATGTAAAATTTTGTACAGTGAGACTTTATGCAAAGTCTTGATGCTATTTCCTGTCAATATTATTAATAACATTCCTTGCTAATACATACAGATCCTATCTATATACTAGAGTTGTCATATGATTATGATACATGATTTAATAGACAAGAAACCTTGACCTTGACTTATTCATCTTGTAGCTTTCAAAGTTTTTTGTTCTTTCTGTCAACAGAGCAATTATTATTATATAATAAAACTGTTTAACATAATATTGTTTCTATCCCTTTTGGGCAGGAACATGTAACTCCTCACCCAGAGAACAATGACGTTCATCAGCTGGTCGATGTGCGTCCGTTTGAACCTGGACTGCCCGCTGTTCATCATCAGCTTGGTGTCCTGCCCGGCGAACACGACCACACCGTAGCACCACTGGGTGTTCCGCAGCACGCAGCCGCGCAGCAGGATCTGGTCGTTGCAGAGGGAGAACTTCTCCCCGTTCCACTCCAGGGTTCCCTCAAACTTGTCCAGCTTGTTGTTTGGAGGCTCACAGGTGATGTGGCCTGCAACAGAATGGAAGACAACGATATAAAAGTCTCCTATATCAGAATTCTTAATAATACCCGAACAAATACTGAATAAGAAATACACGTATCTTCACAACCACTTGTGTTTCTGATGTTTCAATGACCACTCTGGTTCTGTCATCTCCATCAGGGCAATTCTGACTGGTTCACTGTGCAATGCAGCTAGGTATTAATGGTACTGACGCTATTAATCATCAATCTTTCACCAACCTGATTAAATTATTTACGGAATACATGCCACATTATTTTGCCCATTCAAGATGCTCAGTGACAGGTAGAATTGCACAGGCAGGAACATGAACTTGAAGGCTAAGTCCTCACCATTGAACTGCCCCAGACTGTGGATGTCATCTCCTAACTCAGCTGTCTCCACCAGAGCCTGTCTGCACTTCAAGTTAGTCTCCCTGAAAATACAAACACCATACTTCACTCACATGCTGTCAAACTTGCTTGTAACCAATTCTTGACATTGCAAATTCTTTCGGTCCACCACAACTGCTACTGTCATGTATTTCTACCCAGGTTTGCTTGCAAACATTGAATTTCGAGTTTACAACTGGAGTTACATGTACTGCATGATAGTGTGTAATCAATGTGATACTTACCCATCTAGCTCTGCTGTTTCAATGTAACAAAGGCCATGAGGTTCAGATGTGGATAGCAGCAAGAGATCAGCCTGGAGCAACATTTACAGAAACCACACTTATGGCAGTCTGATAGACCAAATAGTGAAATACAACTGAAAATAGTGAAAGACATCATGGGGCATTATCTAAATATCTAAATTACACAATGTATTTTGTATTGTTTTGCTTTGTTTTGCTGTATCTATACTGTACTCCAGGACATTTTCACTAACTTCAAGTCTACATCAATTGCTTTCTATACATGGAACTTTAAAACATAGATTCCTCCAATCAACATATAATATTTGTCACAAAGACATATGTGAACAAATGACATAATATATGGATTTCTTCTGTAGATCCAATTTTATATGGAAACTTCATTAGAATTAAGCATGGTGAATATAACAGCTAACTGAGCATTCCTCATCAATCAATATTAATTAGCGGAGTGCTGACCTGTCCTATTGATTGACGGGACCTGACACACTATTGGGATTTCCCCAAAGTATAACACACCTGTTCAACGTATTGCAATAAACCGTTTCATGGTTAAAACTATGAATGCACAAGGTTTAAGTTGAAGGCCCTTGTACACATCAGGGGTTGAATGAACTCGTGAAAATGATATTTTCTAATGCCAAAGATCATAGACAAAACCTGCAAAACCTTATGCTATGGGACATGCCCCCAAAGGTTCTAGAATGCCAGGACTATACATTTGGAGCTATAATGATGCCACCTGACAGAACAGGTAGGAAGTGCACCCTAGCTGTTGGAGCATCTCTGAGTCCTAGTAAGTTATAAAGCTGAATGATCAGATCGATGTTTCCAGAAAAGTCAGCACATGAGATCTGCAACAGCTTTACACTCGGAGTCCAAGATTGCTTACCGCAACAAAGGCGTCACTCTCCATGCGAATTATGTCTCCAACTTGTACGTTCATCCAGTTTTCTTCGGTAAGACTGAGGACAGAACACATGTTGTAACACGATGTATCCGATGAATTGAACTGAACATAACAGTCTAGATGTAAATACATCCACATTATACGTTACTAAGCATGGTAAGTGGATCTACATTATGAGTTGGGAGTGGGACCATTACAAGAAAGGGAAAGTTGATACAAAAGAATGTATGTACACTGGTGAAGCAGTCTACTTACACGCCATTCCGGAGAACTTGGGACTTCCTGTTATTTACTAAGTTGTCACTTTGGTGACGTCTCTGAAAACAAATTTCACAAGAAAATGTTACACTATTTGACTTACATACATTTTTGCAATACAATAGTACTTGCCTTTCACTTGACAGCACTTTACAACGGAAATGAAGTGATCATAATTGATGTAACTCCATGTACAAATTGTTTTCTGCAGCATGTATGATCTCCCTGAGGCATGATAACAAAATTTGAATTATCTATCACAATGATAAATTACTGTAACAGAATTTCGTATTTGCTGTGCAAACAAGATGCTAATCTTAATTTTTATATATGTAACATGTTTTCCAACTTAAGCCATATTAAAACGTGACCACCTGTGTCACACTTTCTTTTCATAGAATTTCAGCTAGGCAATGCATGGTAGAACCAACCATCGATTAGGATCTATGACAGAATTTTGTATAACATTTCACTGACTGTCCCAAAAAAAGCCCTTAATTTGTTGTCACAAACATGAAACTCATAATAAGATTTTTGTGACAAGAAATTGTTGCCCACAATCAAAAATGATTTAATAACACTGAAAATTCTGAGGTATACTTACAACATCATCCACTAAATCTTTGAGAGCTGTGATGGAGAGCACAATGACCAATGGAACTGCAGTGGTGACTGGTGTTAGGGATGAGATTGCTGGTATGACCTGAAAAGAAATCATTTCTATCATTACAAACTAATCATATAGTATGTACTTCTTTTTGTGATACTTGCTGTACATCATTTAAATGTACACTTTTTACGCGACCTTTTGTGCTTAGCTCTTGTTTCAACAATATTTCATTTCACTAAAACATAGTGACTGTCAATCTATCCAGCAAATATAAACATATTGATTCCATTCAGAGCTACTTAACAATGTTAACTGTATCTACAGAAGATGAAGGTTAGAGACCTGCTAATAATATACTAGCATGCAGACTACTGATGTACCATAGACGACCATAACTCTGTATTAACTACAACAAAATCTGGTCGTTGAAGGTCATTACAGATACTATCTGAACATTATAAAATGTCAACTTCATTTCAGAATACTCTGTAACTTCATTTAAGGTCGAGGGGACTTAAATTATTTGCCATAAACAAGGTCTTGTGGTATTTTAAGCCAACACATTGTGTATTGATGGCAGCAAACAGTGTAACTGTTGCAATTTTCCAATGGAGAGGTCAGTTTGAAAACTACAAAAACCACAGTAAGCATATTTCAAGATCTACAGTATTGTCCTAGCGATGCCATTCTGTTCTTTTATCAATGGTCTCCATGGGAGGCAGCCCTTTATAACAGAAGATACCAGAAAGACTTTAATCCTGTAGATAATCACATTGCCTCAGCCCTATTCAACAAGAAAGAATTTTGCTCTCCCTGCCTGCTAATCTAGCATTCTGCTGGAATTGCTTTTAGTATGATTGTAGAGTGCATACACTACCTCCCTGAAATGGGAGTCTTTTCCAAGGTCAACAATACTGGTCTATTTGAAGTAGGGCCTCAATTACTTGGTTCCTTGTTTCTTTACAATTTTAACCTTTGGCACACTAAAATAGCCAGTTCTCGACCAGTTCTCGATTTGTTACGGGGTTAAAAGATGGTTAGAGCAAAGATTTACCAGATTTACCAAGATAAAAACAGAGTATCGAGAGGAAAATTTAAGTCTGTCGATATTCACTCCCTGAAATGTGTGCAACACCAACATTGTTACCCTCATACTCTGTTTTCATGCCATTATGATCTTTCAGCTCTGAATCAGCATATCTTTTCTTGTAACCCAAGAAACAACAAATTAGATTAGTGTGGCCTAACTGTAAGGT